GTGTCTCCAGAACTCTCTGCACCCCCTTTAGCCAGGGATCTATACTCTCTGTGTCTGCCACTCTGCACTTAGCAGGCAGCTTAGACAGCACAGAGCAGGGTGGAATCCCACCGGGGAGGAGGACTAACTGGGTCCTCTGATGCTGCTGCTGCTCCGGGGGAGTGGCCTCTGTCTGAGCAAGATGGCTGCTGCCGCATGGGGGATGAGTCAGCACCAAGATCCTGCCAGCTACTCTCTCAGTTCTCTCCCCAAAGCCTCCTTCCCCAGTCTCTCCTCAGGTGTCTCTAGCCCACTCTACCCCCGACTTTGCTGCAGACCAGGGTAAGAGGCTGCAAATGAAAATTTATGCGTTGGTCCTCTAAATGGTTCTTTGCATCTCCAGCCACCTATCTCTGACAGAGAACAACCCTGCTGCTTTTTGCAGCTGGCTGTTTTCTGTGTACTTTTTGGGCTCTGGTGCTGTAGGCTGCAGATCCCCGCTTACGGTTTAGATCCCAATCTTCTTATGGGGATCCAACTGGCCATTTCAATATCCTTCTGGTGCTGCCACCCATGGGCGCCCCGCCAGCCTTCTCAAGTCTCTTCCTCACTCCTTACCAGTTAGATTACACTAAAGCTGATTCTTCTGTCTCTGAGGTTACAAGGCTCCTCTCTCACTATTGTTTAGTTGCGTGTTCCAGGTGATTTCTCCACAATTTCATTGTAATTCCAGGTTGGTCCTGGGAGGAGGTCATTGTGACTTCCACTCACTCCACCATGTTGATTATCCCAAATTTGCCAGTGTCTTTTTGGGGTGCTTGTAGTCTTTGCTTTCTGTCTGAAGTTTAGCAAGTTATCTGGAGCTGCTACAAGCTACCCAGTTTTATTCTGTTCTCAGGAGCCCCCAAGCGTATACTATGCTGGGTCTCATTGGAGCTCTAAGACAGGCAAAATAAAAATCAGTCTCTCAAGAAAGCCCCTGAAAACCCAAAATGTTAGAAACATGCTCCAATCTCTTCTGCCCAGCCCTGCCCTCGCCCCAGGAAGAGGCCACTGCACTGAATCAGTTTCTGTGTTTTGCTTCATGGGTCCTCTGGAGCAGCAGGCCCTATCTAGTTCTCCTTTGTTTTCAGTGATACCCAGGGATCTAGTGGATGTCAGGTACTGTCACTACTTCAAGACAGAGGAGACAGAAACCCATTCTTCAACCTGTCCCCTGGAAAGCTGTAATTTTGGATGCATGTTCCAACTCTTTCTATCCATAGGGAGAAGTCAGACGTTGGGCATTTTACCTACTCTTTCCCACTGAGGTAAGGGGAGGGATTATGCTGAGTGAATACATGCTAGTCCGAACCTTCACCTTTCTCACTTGCCCCAACCTGGCACCCTTTCCTGTCAGCACTGAGATTCAGGTAAGACAGCAATTAGTCTCTGAAAAGCCTACACAAAAACTGTATGTTTCAGTTTTTTATTTCCCCCAAAGAGAAGCTAGAAACTGGAAGTTTTCTCTCAGTAGAGGAGGGCTATGGCAAATGAGTGCCACACATTTTCCCTTTGGCCCCAATACAGCTGGTTTCACAGTCCCCTAAGGTACAAGTGCCTCTCAACTGAATCTACACATTTCTCACAGAGTCTCTGTCTGTGTATTGCTGAATCAGTGTCTCCATGAGGAAAGGAAGGAATACCTGGAGCTTCCTATTCTGCTCTCTTGCTAACCAGAAAGCTGCTATTTTTCTGACTATTTAATTTCTTTATTATTTATTTCCCCAGATTTCTTATAGACAATAATAATCTCACATCCTTCTTTTGTATCTCCACTTCCCTAAATCCATGCGCTCACAGGATAACAACTGAATTTATTGATTCCTTCACTAAAGTTCAGTTCTTTCTGCAACAAGGTGAGAAGATACTATTTTGAAAACATCCTGTAGCCTAGAAAGCCTTAAGGATCAAAGGTTTAACTGTGAATTACAGGACCCGTTAGGTTTTGCTGATATTTATCTAATTAAAAAATAACTGTTTTGTGACCTAGTTGATATTAATCTCATATGTAACTCAAAAACTTCCATATAAGCACTGCCCTATAGTCTGTGCTATATATGTATAGGGAGATATATTAGAATTAAAACCATATTAATACTCCTTCCTGAATGATATTCAGTGAGGACCTCCCATATGCTGAATCTGGCAAACTGGGAAGTTTCTAAGGAGTATAAAGTAGGAGAAGAGGCCTAAAAGCCACATAAGGGACTGAAGACATTAAATTTAGGATTAAGTTTCATGAATCAGGTCATATACGAACTTGTATCACACCTCCTATTTGTAAATTGCTGCTATCGACTCAGAAAATCCCAAGATGACAAGGGGTGGAGGTCCAGCTTTAAAAAGAGATATAAATTCATATAAAAGAGACTGCATGCTCATGATTATCATGTTATGGAGGAGGGGCGAGAGACACTAATGACAGAGGAATAAATACTCCTTCTGCCTTTTAATTCCCTTTCATTTAATATCTCTAAAACTCTTAAAGAATTTAAGACTTAAATCACATGTGAAGTTATTTAAATATATCCTCTTCCTAAACACTTTATTCAAAATCTCTTACTCATCTTTATTCCAAGTTTCCATGTCTCTGGTTTTGAATTTGTCTGCATATAATTCAAATAATATTTTAAAATTATGCACTGACACTAAATAAAACGCAGTTTATTTCAATTTTGTACTTATATTCTTGGATAAAGACAAGTACACTTGGATAGTTAATCTCAACCAAAAAAAATACATTTGCAGTTACCTTTCTGTAATTTTTTTATACAAAAATATTATTTAAGACAGACTCGAGGATGTAAAACAAAAGTAAACATTTAATCAAGACATCATAACAGAAACGCATGTAGTATCCCAATTATCTAAATTTAAGACAAAACAGAAAAGATAAAGCAGCTTCCTATCCATATTCCCCTCACTCCCCAGTTTTTAAAATTTATTCCCTTTTGCTTATCTTCTTATTTTAGTTGCACATATTATAAAAGAGCACTATATTCTTCCTTTAAAAAGAAACTCTGAGAGGAAAGGGAATGTTTGTTCATTCTTGTCAACGTGGAGTTCTTTCCCCTCAGTCACCATTCATATTTTTCATTGTCTTGATGATTCCTCCTTGATTGTCCATGTCTGTTTTCTGTGGTTTTATCTTATAAGATCATATCTTGATGTCAGACTCTATTCTCCATAGTCTGATTCACAAGGAGTTATTAGAGAAGACTTACTTTAAAGACCTGTCTTCGTAGAAATGATTATACACACAAAAGGCAGCTCTTGGATAATTGAGAGTCTGGGGATAGAAGAAGTCAACCATTTTAATGGTTATCTATGTGCAGTCAACGACAGCTGCTTTTTCAGACATTTCAGGGTTCCACTAAGTTGGGGCCTCAGATCAGAAGAATTACATGGGCTATTTATTTCCATTGTTTGGGTGTTTTTTAATGGTCTAATAAATCATAGATAGCTCTACAGACTTTCCCTCAGATCTGCCTACTGCTAACAGAAGAGGAGGATATTCTTTCATCCACTATCAGTTTTGTGCTAAGACAGCACACTTGTCAAAGCAGTGAGAGGTTTGCTGTTCCAGGTGTGTGATCAATACACAAAGATGTCAGAGATCCTCAGTGAGAATAAGGTCATAGCCTTGGATTCGCTGAGTCTGCAAGTCCATGATAGATCCCAGATTGCCTTAGCAGTGAGTCACTTATCTTAGGTGATAAAGAGCTCTGCTAATGGTTTGTTAGAGTAATTGATATAAATGGACTTAGTATATGAAAAAGGATGTGAAAACAAACAGACGTACTCCTATGCCTCATGGGAGCTCTTTTAATACACCTTGAAACTTCCACCCCACTACACTCAAAGGTAGTCATCCTCTGAGTGACTATATGTCTGAGTCCCATAGGAAGTACTCAGAAAAAAAAAAAAAAAAAAGAGTGTCCTTAGGAGCAGAGCCTGAGTTACTAAAAACAGTAAGAGCTCAAATAATAGAATTAGTTTGATCATGGAGATACTTTGATGTTCCTAAAATTGCACATGCTTCTGTTCTCTAGAAGCAAATTTGCATTAAAACAAAAATTAGTTAAGTGATATTACTGGGCATCTCCTGTCCCGTCCTCCCACGAGAATCATATCTTAATTATTTGGATCTAGTTTTTTAATTCTTGCAATGACAGTTTCCCATTTTACCATATCTGTAATACAAGTTTAAATACTTCCGACTTCATCTTGGACTGAGTGAGTGAGTTGTGGGTATGAGCCCAGCAGAGACACAAACTGCACGAGTGCATCCACCTGCCATATGTCAAACAGCCCCAAATGTTACAGCCTCGTTACCAGTTCATCCAGACTTCAACTGTAGCTCATCAGTTCCTATTAAGAAAAGTTGCATTTAATATACATCTAAATGATAAAGGTTTAATTTATGTATGTTGCTGAGGGGTTAGAATGAAGAGATTAAGTGGCAATTTATATCATGCAAATGATTTTATCATCACTCTGGTCAATGAGTATAAGCTGTAGTTCCAGATAAGGTCACATTCTGAGGTACTGGATGTTTGGACTTCAACATATGAATAGATGGTTGGGTGATGCATTCAAGATCTAACAATAGTTAAACAAGAAATTTTTATTTTCTTTATCTTTTACTATTTTGTAATGTTCAGATTGAAATGCATTCACTTGAGTTCAAAAATGCACTTCAAAGTAATCAATCAGCAAGTGGTATTAAATGCCCATTTTTTGTACTAAAATATATTAGCTATTGCGAGAGTCACAAAAGAAATATGAAATAAGGGCCCTTTTCTAAAGGAACTTATCTTACCACCTAGTAGGATTGAGGAGGCTAGCTAACAATTGAAACCTGTTTAACACAGAAGAACGCATCAAAATATGCAATTACAGAACAAAATATCCCAGGCCTTTCTCCTATAATTTAACAACACCTTATAAGAAGATATTTATTGTTATTTTTCCTCTAGGTACATTTTGAATCAATGTTCCTTGGCCATGTTCCTGAAAACATTAAGATCTGTAAGAAAGCGGGCCATGTGTATGGGTTCAAGGGCTGCATCAGAGCTTCAAGTAAACCACAAAGAATACTTTATCGTTCAGGAAGCACTTCATGGAAGGAACATTGAGAACTGCCATGTCCCTTGGTGTGCTCATCATCGATGCCACAACAATGGCACCTGCATTAGGTTAGTATTAGCCTCCTGATCTCCAACCTATATTGTATAATTCCAAATTCTCAAAAAAAACAAAACCGGTGGCATTGTCATCTGGGTGACAGAAGGATCTGGAACATCCAAGTTTTTGCATGCATTACCTAGCTGATGTACACATGTGATAGATATTTGTTTGCTCAAAGAAACATATATATTGTGGCTCCAGTGGCAAGGAATTCCTGACCCCTGAAGCTAACTAGGTGACTGAGCCTAATTTTGAAAATTTTAAATGGATCCAAGTATAAGTTTACCAAGGTGTCCTGCTTTTAAGAAATATGAATGAGAGATTATTATTCATTGATAATGATTTTGATGTATTAATTTTTATTGCTTTTGCTTCATCTTAAAAATATCTACTTATATCTCTTTTTAGAAAGTACCTATATCTATCTATTCTTTTTATTTGCAATCCTATGTGCTTTTTTTTCCCTCCTGCAAGAAAAGATTCATGCTTATAAACTTAAGATCTTAATTAAAATTATTTTCTGCTCCACTAAAATGTCTTAAATGTCTTAAGTGACTCAACCCTGAAGGAGTCTCATTTGGACAGTGTAGAACATATTCCCAAATTTCTTCAGTCCTCTGAGAAATCTCTTTTCAGAGCTACAAGTAATGACAGAGTGGAAGCAGAAACATGCACAGATTATAATAATTCAAGTCAAGGAAAAATTGACCAAATCTCACGGGAAATATCTTAATTAAATCACTTCAGTGATTCTAAGAAGAAAGCTATCGAATCATTAATGACTTCAAGGAAGTAAACACCTATATGTATAGTGTGTGGAAGAGAAAATTTCTATTTAAAAAAGTAGGATAGAAAATGGTAGGCAGAGATGGGCTCTGAAAGTAATCACTGGAATGGAAAATGATAAGCAAGAGAGAACCAAATGGCAAAGACAAGGAATAGAGGAATTGACAGGTATGATAAAGTCAAGGTGATATATTATACCAGATAGTCACAGACTGACTGTAATATACTTGAAGAAAAAGCATAGTTTATTGAAAAAGAAAGAAATCAACTCTTAGGGTGTCTAAAACCTTTGCTCGTGATTAACTGTGTCTGAGTCTGTGTCTTGATTTACACATTTGTAAAACAACAGCATTATAGACCTATTTTGTATAGGGAAAGTATAACAGATAACATTTTAAAGGATTTTAAAAGAGAGTTCATTTTGAGGCTAAGAGTGAAGATAACTCCCTTGACTGTAGTCACTTTTCAGAAGGAACTAAATCAGGGCTTTACTTAATAAGCACTCTGTTTTATAATAAACCCATTAATGGCAATTATATTTTAATATAATAATGCAAACATTATCCAGCAAGATAACCTTCAGGACCCTGTAGAAAAACTTGCATCTTTGACTAATTAAGTGAATAAACAGGGGGAAAAACTTCTACTGACTTTCTAATGCCTGAAATATTTGCCATTTAACCTTAACAAACACTGTCAATGAAGCTTTACCATTGATGGAATTACAGAAGTGACAGGAATTGTTTCCTCTCTTTCTATATATGGTCAGCAGCCTCTATCACAGCCCCCATCATCCCCTCTCCTGGTACTCAAGCCTGGCATGATCCCCTCTAACTTCAGTGTGGATGGGACCGTAGTTTACTTTTAGCCAATAGAATAATGAGGAGAGGAGCATAATGGGATGTCACTCACTTCCATGATTAGGTTACATAGGACTGTGAGCTGCAGCGTGGAAGAACACTCTGTCATGCTGATTTTGATAAAGCCATCTAGCAATTTTGGGAAGGTCCATGTGACAAAGTACTGAGGGTGGTCTCCAGCCAACAAGCAGTAAGGAACTAAGGGTGGCTACTTGCCAGCTATGTACCTTACAAATAAAATACTTCTTCATATCCTATGAGCAACATGATTTCTATCTTTATTGCTGGAACTTAACTACCATAAATTACCCCTTGCATTATTGTACACAGGACATGCTGGTCCCTGGCAGCTATGACTTCCATTCCAGCATGTCCCTGTGCACGCCAAAACCACAATACATCGGAGTTGGCCAGTTCCAGTACAACAACAAAAATAGACATTCCAGAGGGATCATAAGAATAGGATTGAAAAATTTATCAAAGGCAGGGAGTCAAGGGAAGATGTAAAGAATGACTTTTGGGTTTTGAACCTAGTAACAAGAATGCTGGAATAATTGCAGGAAGAAGAGGGAAGAGGATGAGTTCAGTTTGGGCCTTTTGTCCTTAAAAGTCAGATGACCATCCAAATAGGGATATCCACATGTTAACAACGGTCAAGACAAACACATAGATCTGAGGTCAATCACACAGACCTTAAGGTTCAACCATGTGATTACTGAAAGGAAGCAAAAAGAAAAGAAAGCAAAACAAGGAAACATTTTTAGAAAATTATATTGGAATTTTGTAGGAAGGGAGCAGAATGAGTAGTAGAGTGATTAAAAAGAAATAAAAAAGGAGAAGGAGGCCATCTGAGGTAGGTGCTCTGGACTGAAGGTTTGTGTCCCCCACAAAATTCAAATGTTAAAACCCTAACCTCCAATGTGATGATTTTTGGAGGTGGGTTTTGAGGAAGTAATTAGGTTGTGACGGTGGAGCCATCCTGAATGGGATCAAAAGTTCGCTACAAGAGCACAGACAGCCAAGGGGCCACAGCGAATATCATCAGGATGAAAATGCTGTCTGTCACTCTTTCCCAGTCTGTGTAAAACCAATACCTAACCATACGCAGAACACTCCCTCAGTCTATGCAGGAACACGAAAGGAGAACTAGGTATGTACTGACAGAGAACTCCCAGTAAGGCCATTAGCAGACCAAAAGAAGTTGTTCTAGAAGAACACAGACCAAAGAAGTAGATCACAAAAAAACCCCGCCATGACGAACACCCAGCCCCTAGCAAACACATATGCATACTTAAACTGCAGTGAGTGGTGTAAAGTTCCCAGTCAAGGACCCTAGAGAAGCTTTGTGCTACTGAGACTGACTTTGACAAAGCATTCTGAACTGACTTAATGCATTTGATAACTCATGTGCCCTGTATATTGTTGGCCAAAGTCAAAGGTTCCTTTCCTCTTCCTGCTGCCACATTATGAAATGGATCTTTCCAAAATCTTCCAAACTCTCTTAGAGCCCTTCTCAATCTTTGCATCTTTTGAAGCCATTTGACTTGGTCTCACTCCTGAGCCAAGCCAGGCAGACTTCTAAAGTCTCATCCTCTCTTTTCCTATTTTCCCCAAAGGGGAGATTGGATGCAAGTCAGCTTTCAAAAGAACAGAGCAATTTAAATGAGATTTATTAATATTCAGCTTTTCTGGATTCAAAGGGAGCAGATAAAATGACCTGATGGAATTCTTTTTAGGTCTACGGTTTTATTATTTTATTTTCAAAATAGTAGACCATCTTTGTTCAGAATAAAAGGGTCATTATTACAAATATAAAAAGAAAGCTCTTTTACCTCTCTGATTTCCTGTCTCAAGATATAACGACACTAATGTTTTAATACTATAGTAGGCATGCATCACGCTTTTACTTTAAAATGCAAATAATAATTTCCCATAACAGCTTCATTGTTGTAGTCCACAGACTTTCCTCTAAAGGCCAGAGAATGCCTCCTAGTGAGGTCTATGAGGGGGAACCCCCCCAAAAAACAGAATTATCTTCTATAGGGCAGCCCCTTGTAGTACAGGCTTCCCCCACTAGGTGAGTGTTCTAGGAACCCACCTGTATCTGTCTACCAGCTGGTGTTATTGTGAGAGGCTGCGTTTGGCTTCAGTGATTTTTTTTTTTTTTTTAACGACTCTTTCAACACGTTTGCCCATTTCCAGGTATGTGATTTACAAGCGCACTGGCCCTCACTGCAGTGAGTGTTCGGCAGTTTTTGACCAAAAAATGGCATGACTTCCATGCCCCACCCTCCCTATTCACCCAATCTCACCCAAGCAACTTTTTTTGTGTTTCTCTGGATTAAAAAAAGTCCTCAGAGGGAAATGATTTACCGATGTAAAAGAGGTGAGGCTAAAAACAGCAGCGGCACTAAAAGGCACCAAAAGTGACAAGTTCAAAAACTGTTTTGAACAGTGCAAAAAAATGTCTCGATAGGTGTACTGCAGCAAATGGAGAGTGCCCTAAAGGTGACTGAAGATTAAACATAGAAGAATAAATACCCAATTTTTTATAAATGAATTCTGGTTTTGGGGGGGTCCCCCTTCTGTAAGAACCATAAGAGAGGCAAAATTTTTAATCTACACACAAGCTTGAACATTCTATTCAAATATCCTGCAAATGCATGCCCAATCTCCCCAACATGTAAAGAATAGTAGTGGTTAAGAGACACCCCTTAAAAAGGGCATGCTCTAAACAAGAGTAAGATGGTAAGCTAACAGAGGTTCAGTACACAGAGCTACACTTTAGGGCTCACAAAATAAAATACAGTTACATGGCTATTTATAAACAAAATCATTACTAATTTTACTGGCTTGGTTGATATAATTCACTGTTACTAAGTGTTGTCCCTACATTGTCAATGAGGGTAATCTGCTTACAAGAAGACAAATTTCATGTGGAAAACTATTGAGGGGAAGTATTACTTCAGCAGCTCTACTGAGCAAATGTCATTCTGCTTTGAGTGCCATCACACATTTCTGGACAGTATCCAATCTTTTTTCATTTCGTTATAAATCTGTGCTAGAATTTTCAAACCCCTGTGGTTGCTTATTTCAGAGAAATCCAAATTGCATGTAGTGAAATTCAGTTTAGAAAGTGATACAGAAGGGTTATTCTGAGTATCTAAATCTCTGTGGACTTTGAACAAGCTGTTTCCAAAAGGGCATAGGAAGGTTAGCAAATTAAACAGATAATATTTAAATCACTTTCTCCTTTCTGTGCCAGATGTTTTAAAATAGGTTAAACAATAATTAAAAAGGAGCATCAGGTTTGGGAATATATCCTATCTAACCATTGCTCTGAAAACTGATGTCACTGACAT